ATTTATTATGTCTGACTACATTTTGTCTCCTGTTTTCTGTAATAGTTTCTCCTCTGAAACGTTGCATAACTGCTTTCCAAATAAGCCAGCTTCCAAACCGACATATCTCCTCTTTACTGACCTGTGGAGGATTTGATTGGGCCACTGGGTCGTTATCAAACGCGTTACATGAGCAGATGAATCAGGAATTGTTTTCACCAAATAATCTGTTCACTAACACAACGGCTCTGAAATTCAGTGCTCTGCAGTATCCAATGTATTTGATTTGGGTTCAATGTATAGTGGAGAGAAAATGTCTGGCAGGCGAAGCATGTGTTAATATTTCCTCCTAAATGAAACTTTTAGAAGTTGCCTGATTAATTGACATTGTTGACTGTTTAATTATATTTGCACAGCTGCTAAACATAGAATAGAAATGTCCTTTATTGTCCCAAAGAATTTATATTTAACAACAGCAAAGCTGCAGACATATTGGAATGAAACTCCAACACAGACAAATGCAAAAACGCAAATGAAACTGAAAAACTCTGCAAATAAGGAAATGAGAGCAAAGTGCAAAACTCCACAAATACTAAAAACACCAAGTATGAAACTCTGTAAACTTGGTGAAACATAAGTTCGCCAGGCCACTAGGGGGAGTCGACCAACAAGTCGACCAGACTCAGTAAAGATGGGATGTTGTGATTTAATAGGATGTCGAGAAGAAAGATGGAGGAAAGAAGGAATAGCTGAATTACACTTCATGTCCTTTTGAAATGTGCAAAAAGCATCAGGATATTTATACGGATAATAATACTGACTCCAGACTCCCCCTACTGGCCTGGAGGACTTCTGCTTCAGAGTTTGCAGGGTTTTCTCTTTTTGCTTCTCCTCTCTGTGGTTGCAGTGTTTTTTCTGTTTTGGATTCACGTGTTTGCATTGCGTTTCACTGTTTGCTGAGCGTTTGCACGCGTCAGCCACCGTAGGATTCAGATGATTTACGAAAAACTGTAAAAACAGATGAGCGCTCACTGCAAGACTTATCGCCATGTTATGTAACGCTAAGCAGTAGCATCCATCCAAACATGCTCCTCCTATCAGGATTTATTAGCGCGCTTCCTGGAACCAGATAACTGTCCTGCTGCTTGGGTTCCCAGAGTGTCTGATGTCGGATTATAAGAACATGACAAAGATGTTGCAGCGTCAGGTCCAGATATTGGTGAATCATCTTCACTTCGGTTTGTTTAGTTGTTGAGCTTTAGAGGAAGTGGTTCTGTAAACCGAAGGCGTCTAGATTTAAAACCTTCCGCCTCCACAGCAGGCCACTGGCCTCTTCCTCCTCCTTTCCCCCACAGTTTGCTGCAAACTGCTGAGAAGAATGTGCTGGTGACTGATAGTAGCTGTGATAATGTTTAATCAGGCCTCACATGGTTGGAGTTTGGACTGTATTGACCAACAATGTGGGTCACTCTGCTACAGTAGCCTTGTTGTTTGCACTGTCAGGTTGAACTGAATGAAAGGGGTTTAGTTCTGATCATTCAAAGGGCGTGCATCATCATGTTTGCAACCTTTCAGCTCTGCTCAGGCTTGAAGTGCACCACAGTTTTGTTCTTTTCCAGTTGGATGTACGAAAACAGCAGCAGAATGTTGGGGTGGAGTGATGATGTTATCTTTGGAGAGCTGCTATCAGTGACGCAGTGACGGCAAAGTCTGCAGCCTCAGTGTGAGTTCATAACGTGAGGATGAACTCGCACTGAGGCTGAACTGTTCAGACAGGAGGAGCAAATCTGGAGAACTCTTATCTGAGAGTCAGTAGCCTGGAGACTTAACAAACCGGCACCAGGGAGCCGGAGCAGGCGATTATTTTTACTATGAATTTGGTTCATTTACCATAAGAGGGAAAGAAAGGGCTTCATTTTTAGCAAATTCATATTTTAACCACGTTGCTCATTTCTTCATAAATGTCAGTTTCAAACTAAATATTTATTTAGCAAAAAATGTTTGCAAATGTTTAGCTCCAAGCTAAATATTTAGTTTAGAAACTAAATAAGCAAGTTAATATTTAGTTGGCAAGCAAAATAATATTTATAAGTGTAAATAAATATTTAGCTTAGTTTGGAACCAAATATCTAGATAATTGATCCCAAACTCTTTATTTTAATCTTATTTCCTGATGTTCAACATTTTGTTTCAGCTGTTCCAGGTTTTAAAGCCTTTATAAAGTTGAAGATGAAGCTATATATTTACTTTGAGCTAAACATTTAGCTTTCTAATTAAATGTTTAGTTTGAAACTGACATTTATAAATGAACGAATAACATGGAGAAAATGTGACTTTTTTTCTGCTGTGATAAATTATTGCTGTAAATCTTGGTGTGTTTTTGCAAATTGCAGGCCAAACATTCGTCTCTTTGCTCTTGTTGGCCTGTCAAAAATGGCTGCCAAGTTGACCCTGTGAAAAAAACAAAACATGGAAGAGGTGCAAAGGAAGCAGACTTCAAACGCCTGTGGGAGGAAGTGGAGGAAGGGAGCGCGGCGTTTTAACGTCGCTTGTGAATTCCTGGGACACTTTATTTTCTCAAAGTGCTTTTTCTTCATTAACCGGCTCTGTGATTGTTATCTGGTCGGCTGTCTCCTGGTCCTTCACCTCACTTAACAGAGGAGCCCCCCACGCCGCCCACCGCCCCGCCGCTCCAGGAGTATTTTTGGAACGTAATGAAAAGAGAAATCTGAACTGCTTAGCCTTAAAAGGCATGTCTGGGTCAGCTGGGTGGAAACTTGTGGTATTAATGCCTGCACATTTTCTGTGTGAGTGGGTCATCTGTGATTTTCAGTGTGTGTGTTGATGCTGTGAGGAATTCCTCTGGCTGGGGGAGATGGGTGGGCTCCATCTCCAGGAAGGGAGGGAAGGGGCATATTTGGCATATTTCAGGAGCGTTTTCCGTCTGGTTCACGGTGCATTCTCGAAGCGTGGGCTGAAGAAACCCAACATCTTCTGAAGGTGGTGCAGGCGGGACTCACCTCCATGGAGTCCTGACCCAAAAATCAACCCAGCAGCGCGGTGAACGGTTATAAAAACACGCCTCATACCAGGCAGAAACACACAGCTGAGACGCCTCCCCACCAAGTCAACCTCAGTAACGTCCATAAACGGCTACATGTTGACCCAAACGCCCTCATCCAGCACGGGTTTGGACTGGACCACTACTAGCCTGGCCTCTGTGGCTTTCTGGTCACTTCCACCTCGGTGTAAAGTATTAGACTCTGTGATTTGCTGTTGGTTGGCCTCAGAATGATGTGCTGGCAGTTCAGGGCCTGGCGGTTTGCTGAGGTCACTGCGAGGTTGTAGATGAACGTTAAGATCTGAGCTTGCTGATTGTGTTCATGAAGGGATGGAGATGTTCAGCAACAAAACCAGAGACGCTGGGGTGAGTAAAGATGTTTTCACACCTGATGGTCCAGTGGACCCGGCTGCTGTGGCTCTGAGCCAAACCAGCCTGTTCCCCTCCTGGCCTGTGGGGGCGCTGCACCAACAACCACTGAAGGAAACGACACTAAAACCTCTAAAGACACTAAGAGCAACTTCCTGCTTCACCAGATGGAAACAAGATGGAGGCGTTTGAGGATTTCTCTTTCGTCTTTCTATCACTGGCGCAAGACTAGCATGTTTGTTTTGGTTGTTTTTACCCAGGATGCACTGCGTTGTAGTTCTCTTCCTGCTTTTGGAGGACCAGAGTTCACCCTTAAGGTGCATTCACCCAGCCTGGATGAGTTCCCTTTAACCTGCCTCCAGTTCGTTTGCCCAGAAGGTCTGGATCATTTGGTGAGGTATTAACACTAATTAACCTCTGACCTCTAGTCCTAAAGACCTCGGTCTAGGTTTAAGTGAATTCTGGTTTAGTTTGAATTCATATGTGAACGCCAAGCGGACCACAGACCGCTTCAAAGGCAGGAAGTGGATTACAGTGCAGAGCATTCTGGGTAAATACAATCAAAACAAACGTGCTAGCCTAGCGCGTTTAGCCAAAGACAAAACAGAAAACGTCCAACCGCTAAAATCTGACGCCTCCATTTTTTTAATATTTCATGAAGAAGGAAGTTTCTCTAAGCGTTTTCAGAAGTTTTTGTGTCATTTTTCAGTCACAGGTATCAAACTCCAGGCCTCCAGGTGAGCTGCAGGTTTTAGATGAGCCACAGGTACAGAACCCTGGAATGAAACGGCTTCATCACCTGGTGTGGATCAGATCTGCAGAGCCTTAATGACTCATTATTCTGTTCAGGTTCTTTCCCTGGTTCTCGGTGGTCTGAGGAACTGGAACATCAGAGCGTTAACAACTGAAGCAGGTCAGAGTCTCTGTTCTCAGATCCTCTCTGTGAACAGTTGGAGGAATTTCCACAATGATTTTCACACGTTTAGTTTCTTGTCTGCGACTCGTTGAATAAAATTCCTCCTGCAGATTTTGCTCCCTGTGATCATAAAAACATTCATGTTCTCACAGAGAGGAATGCCGGTTCTTTGTCCTGTCTCCCCTGTCTCTGTATTTTAGCAGGTTGGTCCAAAGCCATTCGTATGTTAGGATAAGTTTTCAAGCCAAGAAAATATTTTCTCTTCCATATTTTCTGCTCTTTCTTTGGTTTGCCTCCTGTTATCTCTCTGTGCTCCGAAAGGGCATCTGCAGGCTGGGTTTCCAGGTTTCCGCTCGGTGCCAGGGTTACTTATGGCGCTTCCTTTCCTGCTGATTATCTGACTGGACCAGAACAATGCTGCTGCGAGGTCATAAAAATGGACTTGGTTGCAGTCATGAAACTTCTTCTTGTCAAATTTTAAAGAAACTGCATATTTCTCATTAAAGTTATGTCTGTGTTGTGGAAAGATGTGGGAAAGTTTGGGAAGCTGTTTTAGCCTGAGTTTTTTTAAAGCACAACTGACCCCTATTTGAAAACGTAGTCTGTCCACAGATGTATTTTGAGAAATATAACAAAAGTGGGCGGAGCCAAGAGCCACAGGGCGTGGCCAAGCGTGGGGATAAACGGAAAGGATTCGCCTGCAGTCAGAGCAGAGAGGAAACATCTCCACTCTGTGTTCACATTTTAAATAAACGCTACCCATCAATGCTAACGCTTGCAATTCCAACTCCTGACTCACCACCAGGGGGCGTCTCTGAGTGAGATGGTTTTATCCCAAACATGGGGCCTAACCAAGTTGGCCTAACCAAGTTGGAGAATCCAACTGCAGTAGCCACAGTTCAGCCCACAGAGGGCAGCACTGAGGCAGTTTTACGCTCATTGACATAAAAAAGTTACAAACATAAAGCTAGCGTCTGTTATCTGTCTGTTCTGCAACAAAAGGTTGATTAAGGGGTTAGCTACTCCACATAGTAAAATTTTTATATGTATTATTTAATTGATTAGTCACTAAATGGCTGATTTTAGGAGTGCAGTCTGCATCTTTTTGTCTCTCTGCCTTCGTTGCCTCTTTGCCAGAAAAGGTAACCTTGGGACAGCTGCTGCACGGAGGCGAGCGCTGAGAAAATCACAACCTGTGAACTCATGCAGACACTGAAGCCTCCACAGGAATCCCTTAAACACTCCTAAGTCACAGAGTGCCTCATTCATGCACAAACACAGCTGAATACCAGGCATGTTTCATTATCCGGCCTGCAGACGCCTCTGTCTCTTTCTCTGCGTCTGTTTTCTCTGGATTTACAGAAACTTCATTTCGTCAGGTGGATTCAGTTTTATTTAGCTCTCTAAAGAGTTTTTTTTTGCCACTTCTGAGTTTTGCACCCTCTGACCCTTCAGGTAATTTGTTGGGAGTCTCTAAATGTTTGTCAGTTGTGAATAATTATTATCTCTGTAGAATAAGGTAGAACAATTTGGAAATGTTCCTTTAACCCCTTAAATTAGCGACATTTGTTTCCAGACATGCATTGGCATTATTTTATGCTTTCATGCAGTCCACCATCTTTATTGACAATATGTTTTATGAGCAGCACTAGAGTCATGTTTTCTTTCTTATGACTGTTCTTCGTTGGTTTAGTTGAGACCAAACTGAAGATTTTATCATCCAACTTTTGGTTGAAAGAGAAAAACGATAAATCATGCAAATGGAAATTGTTGAGCTGTTTTAATTTATCCTGGGATTGAATGGTTTGTTGGTTATTGCAACTTGTGTTTCTTTCTTCACTATCTGAGTAAGGAAGAAAAAGTTTGTTGTTGTCTCTTCTTGCTGTTTTTGTGGTATCTTCCTGCTCCCTTTCAGTAAAAAACCAATAATACTGAGTAGTAGATAAACTCTCATCACTGCATGACTCGGCGGTTCTCTCCCGTTTCCTCTGTAGGTGTGGATCTCAGAAGAATGTGGTTGAATTAGCGTTTTATCTGCAGCTGAGCTCCCAGCCACGCCGAGCATTGAGACACGGCTGCCTTAAAAGGAAACGGCAGCAGCCAATCGCTTCTGCTCTGCCAGCCAGGGAATGACTCCGTGCTGCCTGGGCAGAGTCCGGCATGCTTGCACAAAACAAGGAAGTGTGTGGAGACTGACGGCACAATGCACTGGTTATTAATTCTTTAATTCATTCCTAACCACACTAATGCGGCTGGCGCGTTGCTGCTGTTTCTAATGTTTGAGCTTAGAAACAAAACATGAAGCAGTTGCATCAGTTTCATCTTAAAAGCTCAGGGTGAAAGTTGAACTATGAAATAAGTGAAACTTTTCTTTAAAAAACATTTCTTCTTCTCAAGCTGCAAAGATCTGAACTTTGTGGCCAATTTCTGCAGTTTATGTAAAACTTAACCAACTAACCCAGATTCTGACAGCTGGGATTTCCTCTTCAATACATTAAACTGTCTGAATTTTATTCATTTTCATGTAAGTTTTAGTTTTGCAATATTTTGCCTAAAAACCGTCTCAGTGCTGCCCTCTTTGGGTTGAACGGTGGGACATGTTAGCTTTTTAAATGCAGCTTTTGTGCTTCTTCTGACCTTGAAATGCCTCACTGATTGTGAAAATGGCCGACATTAGGAGTTCTTCCTACAGGAACAACTTCCACACTGAAGAGTGTTGTTGCTAGAGCCTGTTAGCTCTGATGGGGTAAATCTCGGGGTGCACTGATCGATCGGGGGCAACAAACAAAAACTTGGTGCTTCACAGGTTTGAATTTTTCTCAGTAAAATTAAAAGTTTATTAGGGCTGCAACTGTCGATTATCTTAGTCATTGATGAAGCTGTTGATTTTTTTTAACGATTAATTGGATGAAACATTGTGTACATGTAACAAGCCTTTTTTATAAAATATCAGAAAAACAATAAAAGATTCAAATAAACAAATAATTGAATAATTTTTTTAAATTAAAAAAATAAACATTTTAGTTCCTAAAATGCAGGACAGCATCATTTCTTCAGGAGCTTTGGCTGAAACATATTTATAGACAAAACTGTTTTCATCTTGAATTCCTGGTTTTGGCTTAATTATTTAATTACAGCTCTTTATTTGTTGTTTTTTTTTTGGTAAATGGCCTTTTTTGAATCTGAATACATCAGTTAGTGGGCAATCAAATTAATTCAGTTATCGATTAATTGTGATTAATATAAATTTGTCTGAGTTTCTGACCACAAGGTCAGCATCACAGTGAAAATCAGAGATCAGGCCGAAGTTTTTACAGGAACCAATCTCATTGCTGACTCAGCTTCGCATCATTTTTTCTCCTCTTCTAGTTTTTCTGGTGAAAAGGAGAGGGAGAGTCGACACGTGTTGCATCCTCAGGTTCTGCTGAGTCGTCCGCTGGGCCGTTCCTGCGCCGCGTGACGCTGAAGCCGTTCTGTGACATTGTTGGCTGTCAGTGGGGCTGAATAATGAGGAGCTGCTGGGAACCGGCCGGTAGCGTGTGAACGTCTCGGCGGCGCTTTGAAAAGCTGGGAGTTATTAAACATTAGGGCTGGTTCTGCAGGTTCACGGTGAAGTTCAGGAGCTGAACAGTTTTCCATTTGACGAGTGCAGAGGTGAAGGTTTGACCCCACCTTGCTGTGCTGCAGGAATGCAGCAGGAATGCAGATGAAGATTCAGACTCTGTTCCACTTTTCATCTTTTTATTCCTTCAATCTAAATGAATAATTTTATTTCAGTCGTTTTTGCCTCTTTTACTTTTCCTTGGTCTTCCTTTGCATTCTGTTCACTGTGTTTGATTTGGGCATTCCTTTCCCCCTTAGCAGACAAAACAACCACAGACCCCACTGAACACACACACACACACACACACACACACACACACACACACACACACACACACACACACACACACACACACACGCTCTCCCCCTAATCACTCACAGGAAATGGGCTCCCATGCAGGCTCGGCCCGCCTGGCTGCTGAAAGCCAGGATGGCTTTAAGGCCATGAAATGTTCTCCAGGAAAACGAACGTTGGCTTCTTCTGCCTTCGGGTTGTCGTCTGTCCGTCTGAAAACGTTCCTTCCTGCACTTTAAGGTTCATTTTGTTGCAAAGATTTTCTGTTTCTCTGTTGGTTCTTGTTCTGAAAACCTTTGAAATCGATGCAGAGTCCATCATTACAGTCATAAACTGTTTCTTGTATTATTTTAACATTATCACTTTAGAGCATCGCTAAACGCTACGTTGGGAATCGCTGCATGTCGTCCCTCCTATCAGACCTCCTGGTGTTGGCAGCATCATGCTGGGAGGATGGAACTAAATCTAGGAAACTTGTTTTTAGAAAACCTCTTACAGGCTGCAGATTGGAAAAGTAGAATGACCTAGTCAAAGTAACAACCAACATTCAACTGAGAATCAGTGAATGAACCCTTGATTTCACCTTCAAATGATTATTTACTTTAATACAGATTTCTTCTGTTTTTTCAGTTTCTAAATAACCATTTCTTTATTTATGAAGCAAAACAAAAATCCATAACACTAATTTATCCAGATTAATCGAGAACATGAACATCTTTAAGCGGCCGGCTGTTTACTTAAATTTATTATCAGACCAGTTACTGCAATAAACAATAAGATTGTGGTTTTCAGACCAATTTAATGGCAAAATAATACAAGAACACATTCTCAAAGATCAATAAAATTTAAATTCTTCTAAATATTTTAACTCTGGAACAGGATGACATTTTGAATATCCAAAATAAATATATTTGCCTGATAAGTTGGCAATAATAATTTATTGCCAACTTCGTGCAACAGAAGCTTTATGTCTATATTTGCTTATGTTGAATTTGTCGACCTCACAAACAAATAAAAGAAAGAAAGTTGGTTCTTTATTGCTTTTTGGCTGTTTTACAGTGAGACTTCTGGCCTAGTCAAATCCAGAATTTAACAAGTTTGGGTGGCTCAGGTTGGTTTGAGTAACTTTAACAAATCCTGGTTTGGAAGCTGCGCTTTATTTTTCTTTCTGCTTTGACTGAAACACGAGGAGCATCAGGCTAAAGCTAACAGGAAACACGGTTCTTCTGCTCCGGCTGAATCGATTCTTCTGCTCCGGCTGCCCAGCCAGCACACCTAGGTGGGCCCCATATGGGATATAAGTGGGCAGGCAATATGGGTCCCAAAAGGGTTTGTCCACGGTTTCCATGGTGGCCCCACATGGGTTTGCCCAAGTAGATTTTAATGGGTGCTAACTGGGTTTTCAGTGGGTCCCACATGGTTAACTCACATGAGGCCCATCTGTGGCCCACTAGGGTGCTGTCAAGAATATTTACGTGGGTCCCAATTGGGTCTGAACTGGGCTAGAATATGGGTACCAAGTGGGTTTGTCCACGGTTTCCATGGTGGCCCCACATGGGTTTGCCCAGGTTGATTTCAATGGGTGCTAACTGGGTTTTCAGTGGGGCCCATGTGGTTAACTCACATGAGGCCCATCTGTGGCCCACTAGGGTGCTGTCAGGAATATTTACCTGGGTCCCAATTGGGTCTGAACTGGGCTAGAATATGGGTACCAAGTGGGTTTGTCCACGGTTTCCATGGTGGCCCCACATGGGTTTGCCCAAGTAAATTTTAATGGGTGCTAACTGGGTTTTCAGTGGGGCCCATGTGGTTAACTTACATGAGGCTCATCTGTGGCCCACTAGGGTGCTGTCAAGAATATTTACCTGGGTCCCAATTGGGTCTGAACTGGGCTAGAATATGGGTAACAAGTGGGTTTGTCCACGGTTTCCATGGTGGCCCCACAGGGGTTTGCCCAGGTTGATTTCAATGGGTGCTGACTGGGCTTTCAGCGGGACCCAGATGCCTTAATCCTGTAGGAACAATTCTCATCTAACCTGGATGTGAATTACATTCATAGATATGCAATCTTGATCAACAATCCAAAGTCTAGCTTAAAACGTGTTCAAATAAAAAATAAAAAAAAAAAGAGATGAAAAATTTATTTTGCTCAAGGCTTTTATTTAGTAATTTAAAATATTGTCAGGAGTTATTTTTTACCTCACTACAGCAATTATTAGAACTTCATTAATACTCAGGAAATGGTGCCACAAAAAGAAATCTGCAATTATTCACGACATCTTTGAAAATAACAGAAGCTAGTTTACTATAACAAACTTATAAACAGATCTATAAATATATATCTATAGATGCACACAAATAAAGACACCTACATATTTTCCTACAGGTCTATAAATGTATACATCTAAATACTATCTATATAACTTTATACACGTATATTCACATTGATACACACAATGTGAATATACACACCTATATAGATCTTTCACAATACATTTTTGTTAAACATTTTTAAAAATAACCTACATGCCATATGCATGCTTAAATTTGAAATCTCTCATACTTTACTGAAACTGTCCATCTTGAAAGACCTCCCCAACCTGAGTTTGAACTGGCAGTCTCTCTAGTCTATTTCCACTTCCACTCGGGCTCCAGTAAACCACTTCGAGAGTCTTTGCTGTATGCTTGTGTGATTCTGTAGATGGATAATTTCTTTTAAGTCCCCTGAAATAACAAGCAAAGGTAGAAATTGTATTAGTGTTTCATTTTAGCACAATGTAACATTCATGAGATTTGCATCTCCCCCTTCATGGGGCAAAAATGCTTGCAGAGATATGCCATAATCAAAAGGACTCTTGAGTCATCATTATTATGTACAGAAACTATATTCTTACTGTAAATTTAAAATATATCCATCTATATAAATCAACTACTAGGTTCTATCGTGGTTTTGTGGTTATTTTAATATTGTTTGAAATGCAAACAATATTACCTTCAAATTTTTAAGTTCTTAACAACAGTGAAAGAATACTGTTCAAATAAAACCAAAAATTGAAGACTCAATTTTTAACCTAAAAACATTACTAAAAATAACAAACAAAAGCATAAAACAACCAAAATAAATTAACATATGTTTAAGAAAGAAAAGTGAAAAAAAAAGTTACTCTGACAATAAAAACTGATATTTACCATACAAAACATCAAAGAGACGCAGGTCCAAGAGCTTGTTTCCAATGTTGGCCAAAAAGGTTGAACTGGACTTCCAGTTCATGGGACATGAGGAATCGCACAGCTGGTTGTATTGTGTCATCTAAGGATGCTCCTCCAATTTCTGTAGCCATGGCAACCTTAAGTACAATGACAATAACAGGACAACATTTTGTTTTTGTTCATCAGTTTGTCATTATATCACTCTTATGTGCTTAATTTCACTAACATATTAATCTACCTTTTTCAAATCATTATAAAGTGATCTTCACACGCTGATCCTCTTGAAGCCTGCAAAAATATATATTTTATTAGTGCAATATAACATTTAGACTTTTCAAAAAAATAAAAAAATTAAGGCAAAACAGCCTTTGTATGGATTAACTACTGAAGCCTTATATTGTAAACACTGAACAGTTTTGCAATTATCCTAATTTCTTTGTTAACGTGACAGGACTAAGACAGTAGTATTACTCTTAAGAGAAGTTTAGAAAATCACTATAAATGTAACTAATAAAGCCTAAAACATTGCACATATAAAAAATTAGAGCTACAATTAAATATAAGTACATTTCACATAACTGCTAGCTAAATATTGCAAAAATATCAAAAAGAATTTCTTCATCTTTCAATATTTGTTTCAGGCTTGGCCACTGATTGACATGATGGGTTTCAATTTACGGACCCACATGCAGTAACCACACGTTGGATAGGGATGAGTGAGTGATTTATTTACAACAGGACAAAATAAAATCTATTTCCCGGACATCAGCGGAAGGGTGAGGACCACTCGACCAGGTTGGCCTGAAACGAGAACTTAGTTATGACGGGCTTAGAATGAGTGATCGGAGGGGAAACAGGAACAGGCTTACTTCGGTGCGGGTCTTTCGAGGCGTGGGTGTGAGATGCCAGGTTCCTGAGAGAGGGTGTGCAGCGGTTCCGAAGGTAAATGCGAGGTGGGAATGGAAGAGAGCTGGAAGCTCGAAGGGTGGAGTGGAGGCAGTGGAATCGGCGGAGCGAACAGGCAGGTATTCACTGGTGAGTTCTCGAATGAGGCGACAAAACCCCTAGGATCGAACAAACACAGAGACCAGGTGACTTCTAGTAGACACAGAAACGTTCTCAGAAAACTGTTCACAACAGGAGAGGCCAGAGTGACTACCGGTGTATGCAACCATCTAGCATACACCAGTAGAATCTTCAGTCAATCTAGCGTAGACTGAAGATTCTGCTGCTCCTCCACCTGTGCCAAGCTCCACGGGCTCCTCACAAAGATCCTCGCTGAAATAAGATGCAACACTCACATACACACACAGGAACCCTGACACTGATGACTACTCTAGACCAACACAATAGCGGCAGATTGAAATAAACTATGACATAACAAAACGCTTTAAAGTGTCACACAACAATTAAAAAAAGAATTTAAAAATATGAACTACAATGCCTTCATCCTATTTACAAAAAACCTTTTAGGCCCAATATACTGAAACCACATGGGCCCCATATAGTGTTCCCATTTCTGTCCCATGCCCAGTTAGCCCACGTTAATGCTGAATTGGGCCCATACATTTAACCCAATTGAGCCAACAATATGAGTCCCATTTCGGTTAACCTTTTGAGCCTCACGCAGTTGGCCCAGATAAAACCCATGCCCTCTTATCATTACCTATATAGCCCAAAGCTAAACGATTCAATGCAGTTTTATTGAAAAAAACGACAATAATAATCTTGCATGGGTCCCAGCCAAACCAGCCTGAATCCATACATGAGACCCACCCATGCATGCTGATGTGACTGTGAGAAAGATTATTAAAAGCCCAAGTACATAGAATGAAAGCACAATAGTTACTCTTTTTAAATCATACAAATGGTTTTATTGTGTCCAGACACTTTGTAACAACCTCTGCTAGCAACATAGATTCTTCAGTGAACCGATTTCATTCTGCCTCGTTGGCGCTCAAATGAACCAATGGCAGCTCAACAAATAGAATGGCGGCGGTATTTGAAAATGGTTTGGCCCACAACGCTGCGTTTGAAATCGGTCTGCACTAAAATCTGCTTATTGTGTGTAGCTGTGTGTGTTAGCAATATCAGAAAAAGTATCACCCTAAAGAAAAGCAAAAATAACAATAACAATTAAGTCTCTTTTGGGATACTGTCGTCCGATTTGTTACGAGCAACAATTTTTTTAACAAGCGATTTAAAATCTCTCCCTAAAATTTGGTACTAGGTAAAACAGAAGAAATGTACTTACAGATTCTTTCGTAGATCAGCCAACAGGCAGACTCCGCGCCAACGGACTGATGAAGAGAACAGGCTTGATTTTGAAACCGCATATCCATCCGCGGGTCATTTTACGTTTTCCAAGAAACACAAGATTAATTTTTGAGAGTGCTACATCGGTTTAACAAATGTAAAACCGATGTAGCAAAAGTTCTCAATGTAAATAAATACATTTCGTTGTCCTCCTTATTCAAATATGTTTTGGAACTATTTTCTTCAGTGGATGTGTAAAGTGCCTACCGGTACTTCAATTCACCAACCTTTATTGGCAACGGTGCCTCAGAGCAAACAATGAACAAAAAGGTAATTGGAACCAAATGAATCATTAACAGAAATGTTACGTTTTTTTATTTTTATTTTTATTTATACTGATGACTTGGAAAATGTTTGCAAATATATGAAAAAACAGATGCTCAAAATTTTACTCTTGTCTCTCACTTGCTAATGAGTTTTGTTTATTTTCTAAACATTTTGTGATATTTTTCACAATGGTCTGATCTGAACTATTTGTCCAAATAAAAATTTAAATCTTGCTGCGAACAGGCTGCAGTAAACTCTATGGATGTCTAAACATCCAATTGATAAAAAATAATAATAAAATAAAAAAAAAGTTATTATTATTAAAAATAAAACAAGGACTAAAGCTCAACCATGACCACTCTGTGCTTAATTTTGAGTAAGCACCAGAATATGAGTTTACGTATATATTTCAAACAGATTATTTCAAAAAAATGTTTTAAGACATTCAGACTGCAATAATAAAATGAAAAAAAGTTAGGGTTCAAAGTGTAGCAAGAGCAATACTGAACTGGCTTTTGCTTTGACATACAGTGAAAAGTTTGAAAGTGACAGGGTAACCACATTGTCGATTAAAATGTTCTACAATTTTGTCCCATTTAGACCATGAAAAAAAGTACTAGGGGCTACATTTCCTGCCCAGGTCCAACCCATGTATGGTTAGCCCATGCTCATGTCATGTTAGTTTAATGTGGACAGCCCACATTGGGCTTCTCATGTGGGGCCCATGATACTGAAACCACATGGGCCCCAAATAGTGTTGCCCATTTCTGTCCCATTTCCAGTTAGCCCACATTGTTGCTGAATAGGGCCCATACATTTAGCCCAAATGGGCCAGCCCATAGGGGTCCCATTTTAGTTAACCATATGTGTCCCATGAGGTTTGCCCAGATAAAACCCATGACCACTCATTACCCATATGGCCTACTACAAACCCAAGGGGGGCCCACTCATGCGTACTGGCTTGGAGACTGGACTGGACTGTTCTAGCATAAAATAATAACATGAAAAAATGTTAAGGGTTCAAAGTGTGGCTAGAGCAATACTGAACTGGTTTAAAGCATTGTAGAATTATTTTTAATGTTTTAATATCCTGGTCCTCTGGAAGCCTAGTGTTGTAAATGAGCCAGGCATAGATATCACACAGTGAACATGTTTTAGGTTCAAACATTAGGAAGACATGGATGTTCTGTTCTATCAGCAAAATATATCCTTGGGTGATCTCCAAGACGAGGTCACCTTCGTCCTGGAGACCTCGACAATGGTCAAGGTCACCAACCTTTACTATCGTCGAGGTTTCCTACAAGGAAAAAATTAAATTCTACAATTTACCTTACATCAACTCCATTAGAGGCCAGCTGAGTAACAATTGCCTTGGCAAAGACTATAAAGCTGACATCTCGGGTAATTCTTTCCAAGTTTTGAGAATCTTGCTCTTGCAGCTTTTGCTTTGACATACAGTCAAAATTTTGAAAGTGACAGGTTAACTACAGGGTTGGACAATGAAACTGAAACACCTGGTTTTAGACCACAATAACTTATTAGCGTGGTGTAGGGCCTCCTTTTGAGGCCAATACAGCATCAATTCGTCTTGGACAAGTATGGGGCCAAGGGAATGCCATGATATGGCAGCCCACACCATCAATGATCCACCCCCATGCTTCACTCTGGCATACAACACTCTGGCTGGAATGCATCTTTGGGGCTTCTCCACACCGTAACTCTCCCGGATGTGGGGAAAACAGTAAAGGTAGACTCATCAGAGAACAATACATGTTTCACATTGTCCACAGCACAAGATTTTCGCTCCTTGCACCATTGAAACCGACGTTTGGCATTGATACGAGTGACCAAAAGTTTGGCTATAGCAGCCCGGCTGTGTATATTGACCATGTGGAGCTCCCGACGGACAGTTTTGGTGGAAACAGGAGAGTTGAGGTGCACATTTAATTCTACCGTGATTTGGGCACCGTGGTTTTATGTTTTTGGGATACAATCCAGGTTAGCACCCAAACATCTCTTTAAGACAGCTTCATCTTGCATCCACAGTTAATCCTGTTAGATGTGGTTCGTCATTCTTGGTGGTATGCTGACATTACCCTGGATACTGTGGCTCTTGATACATCACAAAGACTTGCTGTCTTGGTGAACAATTTGCCCTCTTTTGAACTCCAGTATGTCCCAAATAATGTTATGTGCATTGCAATATTTTGAGCAAAACTGTGCTCTTACCCTGCTAATTGGACCTTCACACTCTGCTCTTACTGTTGCAATGTGCAATTCATGAAGATTGGCCACCAGGCTAGACCAATTCAGGCATGAAACCTCCCACACTAAAATGAGAGATGTTTCAGTTTCATTGTCCAACCCCTGTACATTGTTCTACAATTTTGTCTCATTTAGCCCACTTAAAAAAGGACTGGGGTCTACATATCCACACCCAGGTCCAACCTGGGCGTGGATATGTACTGACCACACTGAACCCACAGTGGGTTCAGTGTGGTCACGCCACATGGTCTCCCCATGTTGGGCCCATGACATGAGCCCATGCTGATGTCATGTGGGTTCAGTGTGGTCAGCCCACATGGTCTCCCCATGTTGGGCCCATGATACTGAAACCACATGGGCCCCACATAGTTTTGCCCAGTTCTATCCCATTCCCAGTAAGCCCACTTAAAAAAGGACTGGGGCCTACATATCCACACCCAGGTCTAACCCATATATGGTCAGCCCATGTTGATGTCATGTGGGTTCAATGTGGTCAGCCCACATGGGCTTCCCATGTTGGGCCCATGATACTGAAACCACATGGGCCCCATATACTGTTGCCCAGTACTATCCCATTCCCAGATAGCCCACTTAAAAAAGGACTGGGGCCCACATATCCACCCAGGTCTAACCCATATATGGTCAGCCCATGCTGATGTCATGTGGGTTCAGTGTGGTCAGCCCACATGGTCTCCCCATGTTGGGCCCATGATACTGAAACCACATGGGCCCCACATAGTTTTGCCCAGTTCTATCCCATTCCCAGTTAGCCCACTTAAAAAAGGACTGGGGCCCACATATCCACACCCAGGTCTAACCCATAGATGGTCAGCCCATGTTGATGTCATGTGGGTTCAATGTGGTCAGCCCACATGGGCTTCCCATGTTGGGCCCATGATACTAGAACCACATGGGCCCCACATACTGTTGCCCAGTACTATCCCATTCCCAGATAGCCCACTTAAAAAAGGACTGGGGCCCACATATCCACACCCAGGTCTAACCCATATATGGTCAGCCCATGCTGATGTCATGTGGGTTCAATGTGGTCTGCCCACATGGGCTTCCCATGTTGGGCCCATGATACTGAAACCACATGGCCCCCATATACTGTTGCCCAGTACTATCCCATTCCCAGATAGCCCACTTAAAAAAGGACTGGGGCCTACATATCCACACCCAGGTCTAACCCATATATGGTCAGCCCATGCTGATGTCATGTGGGTTCAATGTGGTCAGCCCACATGGGCTTCCCATGTTGGGCCCATGATACTAGAACCACATGGGCCCACATACTGTTGCCCAGTACTATCCCATTCCCAGATAGCCCACTTAAAAAAGGACTGGGGCCCACATATCCACACCCAGGTCTAACCCATATATGGTCAGCCCATGCTGATGTCATGTGGGTTCAATGTGGTCAGCCCACATGGGCTTCCCATGTTGGGCCCATGATACTAGAACCACATGGGCCCCACATACTGTTGCCCAGTACTATCCCATTCCAGATAGCCCACTTAAAAAAGGACTGGGGCCCACATATCCACACCCAGGTCTAACCCATATATGGTCAGCCCATGCTGATGTCATGTGGGTTCAATGTGGTCAGCCCACATGGGCTTCCCATGTTGGGCCCATGATACTGAAACCACATGGGCCCCATATACTGTTGCCCAGTACTATCCCATTCCCAGATAGCCCACTTAAAAAGGACTGGGGCCCACATATCCACACCCAGGTCTAACCCATATATGGTCAGCCCATGCTGATGTCATGTGGGTTCAATGTGGTCAGCCCACATGGGCTTCCCATGTTGGGCCCATGATACTGAAAACCACATGGGCCCCATATAGTGTTGCCCAGTACTATCCCATTCCCAGATAGCCCACCTAGTTGCTGAATAGGGCCCATGCATTTAGCCCATATGGGCCAGCCCATATGGGTCTCATTTTAGGTTAACCATATGTGTCCCATGCAGTTCGCCCAGATAAAACCCATGCCCACTCATTACCCATGTAGCCCACATCAAACACAAGTGGGGCCCACTCATGCGTGCTGGCTGGGTGAATCGATTCTTCTGCTCCGACTGAATCGATTCTTCTGCTCCGACTGAATCGATTCCTGACTGAATCGGTTCTTCTGCTCCGACTGAATCGATTCCTGACTGAATCGGTTCTTCTGCTCCGACTGAATCGATTCCTCCTTCCTGATTCAGTCCAGACTCTTGGACCTGGATTCGGCTTAACCAAACATATGGAACACTACTGTCATGGAATGCTGCAAGTCGGCAGAGTTTCCTCCATGTGTGTGTGTGTGTGTGTGTGTGTGTGTGTGTGTGTGTGTGTGTGTGTGTGTGTGTGTGTGTGCGCGCGCGCGCGCGCCTCTGCAGTCGGCTGAATGGGGCCTTCTGTTGTGCTGGCCAAACATTGCCTGTCTGCTCATGCATGAGTCCCATATCTGAGCCGTTAGCTCATCCTTAGCCGGTTAGCTTGACTGTGAACAATCTCCCCTACAGTGGCTGCATTGTCAGCCTCGCTCCTGCCAAGTGCACCAGATGACATTGGTGAAAGATGGCGTGTGCGTGTCTCTATGTGTGTGTGTGCTCTGATATTATGATGACCGCTGCTCCTCTTTTCCTAACCCATGCCCTCTGTGTGTTTCTGCAGGATGCAGGGCTTCTGCAGGGGAGTGTGATGAATCGTTACAGTAAGTCTGAGTTCCTCTTTTCATCTCTTCGCAGAAAAGATTTTAAAAAAGTAAAACATTCACACTCCCCGAAAAGTTTCAATTTGTCACATTTCCACGGCAAACGTGTCATTTTAGACCAAAGCTAACATGAGAACATGAGCCAGGCTGACTTAGCGGCGCTAACTTTTCCCTTAGCGCTTCAAGTTGTTGCTAACATTTAGTACACGTCGCTTCCCCTGAGGTCATTTTTCTTGATTAATTGGCTGTTTTATGAAATTTCAGCTGATTAAAGTTGATGTTTTGGTTATGGACTGTTGATCATTTCTAAAGTCTTAGATATTTATATTCTTGCTTTTATTGTGGAGGGTATAGGCAGGTTGAATATAGCACCTCAGCATTAACTTGTTTAAACACAAAGTTTATATCAAGATTTTACGTTAGTTCTGACTAAATATATTGTTGATGTAGCGCTTTAGCAATAGCTTCCAGTAAAACCTGTTTTGGTATTTAGCTACGGAAGCCCAGGTGGGATAAATTGACCTCTGAGCGTCAGGCCAGGGGGAGTCGAGCGAGTCGCTTTATTTCTTTTTAATAAATCATAATCTGTCGGAGGAGAGAACTTTATTTTGTTACAAGGCATAAAACTCATTAAACCGAGAAAGTTTTACATCTTGGCTTTTTTATGATATTTTTTTACATTATAAAAAGGAGTATGGAGCATGGATTAATTTACCTTTGCATATGTTTATATGTAACCACATGACAATAAATCAATAAAAAGGCAACAAATAAAACTTTAAAGGAGATCAAGAAAGTTTTTTTTCAGAAGAAAAATAAATTTTTATTGCAGAAATGATTTTTTATGTCCTAAGGAATCCTGGTGGTGGCATGAACAACCAGACAACAAAGTAAATAATAATCAAAATCTGAACTGAGCATAAAGACTTGCTGTTTTAGCTTTTTAAGAAAAGATCAAACTTTATTTCCCTCTGAGGTGGAAATGTTCCTTCTGCTCTTCAAACATGAAAGAAAACACATTTATAAAGACAGCAGTTTGCACATAAAACACCAGTTAGATTTTATTTATTGTTGTATTTATGACTTTATGATTGCCGGGGTGTATTTTCTGAGGTTTTTTATTTTTTATCTGGGCTCATTTATTTTCTGGCCATCAGATAAATGTAGATAAATTCAGATGTTTTATTATTTGTGTGGAACATCCTGCTAACCGACAGCAGGTCTGATCGCCTCTTTAATAAACGTAATTTTTCTCCAATCTTGGTGAATTCATGCAGGACTGTGAGAAGTCGTCTGTACTTCCCTGTTTCGCAGCCTGCTGGCTGCAGCAGCTCCTGGTTGCTGGTTTCATTCCCGGCTCCTCGGAGCTGCCGACTCTTACGAGTGTTGCCGTGTTTCCTCTTATCAGTGTGACGCTCTCGCATTCCTCCAGGAGCAGCTCACGTGAGACGCAGCCTCCCGAGTCGGGTTGGGCCGGGCCGGTTGGGGGTTCGATGTCTGCTGGAGTGTTTGAGCAGCTGCTGGGAGTTTTAAATAGGTTCGGAGGGCAGCGCGGCTCACGCCGTGTCACCGGGGTCACAGAGTTTGTGCTCGGGGCAGATCGCTCGCTCTGGGATCGTTGGGAAGGTCTGCCGTCAGCACTTCCATGATCTCAAATTAAAGATTTACTTTAGTGTCATGAAGACACTTTGGGTTTTTATGAATCGATTTCAGACATCTCTAAATTCAATCAATAACCCAAACAGCCACTGGTGATTTGATTATTGGTCAGGATTCATCATTCAGCAACCAAACTATTTATTGACAAATATCTGATGTGCGTCAGACAATGAGCTGCATATTATTGCCTCTTTTATCTCATTTTCTTCCCATTTGTTTCTTTTTTTAGTTTTATATATATATATATTATTTTTTTTTTTTCCAATTTCTTGCTGGATTTTGTTCCCATTTCAGTTATTTTTTCCTTTTTTTATTTATTCCAGTCTAATTTTTGTCAAAAAATGTTTTGTTCTTGTTTTTCTTTTATATTTAGTTTGAAACCTTGACATGAATAACATGAACATGGTGAAAAATATGATTTCTTTTCTTGTTTAACTTTTCGCCGTCGTGAACATCAGCCTCCCAGCTTCTGTCGTGGTGGTGACGCGGTTCCCTTTCTCCCGCAAAACGAAACTCTTCTTCACTCCTTTTCCCGTCATGTCAGAATCTGTGGGGAAGAAACACGGCTCTCTGTTATTTATCGACCCTTTTTTGTACATTCAGTCGTACTTTTGCAGAAATGAAATCGTACCTTCCATGTTGACATTTTTCTAGACTGACAGAGTGCGAGAAACAGGAGAAAATCCAACATGACAGCACAGGAAACGGCAAACCGACCATTATAGGACGCTGACTTTCTTTATCTTGGAAACCGGGGCATTTGGGCCAAGCTTCAGGTCTCCGCCATCTTGTGGTTCCAGTGCTGCGCCAGCATCCATCCACACACATCAGTACGTTTGCATAAATACCGTTCCTGTGGCCCGTTCCCTGCAAGGAGACAGGCTTTCTGATTGGACCGTTTATTATCGTGTTTATGAAGCAGAAGAGCCTCAAAACCAAGTTAACGTCAAGTGCAAGAAGAGAGAGAGAGGGTCTTCTCCCCCTGCTGCTCCTCTGCACAGAACAAAATGTACTAAAGGGGAACGGTCAGGCCTGAAGCCTTAATTATATGCTTTCTGCTGTAACCTTGGTGTGTGTGTGTGTGTGTGTGTGTGTGTGTGTGTTGTGTGTGTGTGTGTGTGTGTGTGTGTGTGTGTGTGTTTGGGTTTTTAAGAAATTCTGAAGTGGTTGACAGAACTTTTCTGCTGAACTTCAGCCACGTCTTGTAGATGTTTGACTTTTATTCTCAGATTGAAGGAGAACAGCAGAGTTTTAGATTCATCCACAGTTTTAGATATAAAGCGCTGCGGTCAGACAGGATGAAAATGTTAATTTATGGCAAACATTAAAAAAGCAGAACTTTGTATAAAGCTCACAGTGAAACATGGTGGTGGCAGCATTATGCTGTGGGGAGGTTGTAAGTGATTTGAGACTGCAGAGGAGATTCATCTTCCATCACGACAATAAACGTAGAGTCAGAGATGACAGAATGGCCTAATTAAAGCCTGTTGAGAATATGTGGAAAGATTTTTGACTTTCCAGATATTCTGTGGAATATTTCTATTTTCTCATGCAAACAGAAATTTATTTAGTTTATTAAGTATTTAGTTTTACAGCTTAACAACGAGCTAAATATATAGCATGAGGCTAAATGTTTATCATATTAAAGCCAGTTAAAATTTTTAGCTAGCAAGCTATACATTTAGCTCTCAGATAAATATTTAATAATATTTATCTTTCATTGAAGTGAGATGAATTTAATTTAGAAGGGAAAAACAAACATTCAACAGATTTTTAGACATTTGAGCTGATTTAGGACTCGCTTCCCAATAAACCCTCCATAGCTGCTGGTCGTAATATTATTTTAACTCAGGTAAACCGTTTTCCTGCTTCTAGTTTTCAGTGGCAGCGTTTTTGCCCGATCCTCATTCTGCAGCCCTGATTCGCCACGAAGAGCTGAAATATTTTCCACCACTGACCAAATCTGTCTTTGATGTGTTTATGAGAATCTCCTGCTGTATTTTTAGTCTGGACTGGGATCAGTCGCAGCGACGATGCTGGATCCCAGCAAAGCGAAGGTGTTTCTGGCTGCTTCCCTCTGATCCTCCAGGACTTTATCTGTTCATGTCAGCGTTGCTGAACCAGCACAACCCCATGACATGTGTACGTTCAAAGCATATTTACTTCTAATAAGACTTTTAATGAGCTGCGGGGAGACAGCTTTGGGTTTCATCACACCAAATAAAAGTATAGAAAGTGTATTATTCCATCTCAAAGGACACGTCAAAGACTTCTGCACACATGGTTCATATAGACGCAGATTTACGGCGAGACGTCGGAGGAAGCTGTGCAGATCCTCCTGTGTTGTGGTTTCAGGCTTCAGGATGGTGAAGCTGTAAAGCGGGAGGAAGAGGATCCGTGGAGCCGGCCGTCGGGTTGGGAGGGGGGACAAGTGATGATGAGCCCAGATGTGGCGTCCTCCAATCGGGTCGATACGGACCTCCTTTCTTCCTCTGTGAAGCTGATGGGGGGGGGTGATGCCGCTACCTGAATCATTCATGAGATCTATGGTGACCCGTAGCAACCACTAACCCCGCCCCCTGACCGGCAGGGCGGCCATATTGGTGGCAGTCATGGCGGTCCTGGTGATTCTTAGTGACGGTGCTGAGGGAGCAGCAGCTGGGCGGCGAGTCGAGATGTGCTGCTGTCAGCAGGAAGAGGGGATCAATATGGGACAACAGAGCTGCACACACACACACACACACACACACACACATGTACACACATACACACACACGCACACACACACACACACAACCTACGACAAAGGATGGTGAAAGACAGGCTTATTCATAAAAGCATTGATGGTCTGTTCTGAAATCTGGAATATATTAAATTTACTTCTCTGACTTGTTTTGTCCTCTATACAAGGCTTTCCTAATGATAAGGAAAAAACAAACAAACTGATGACGAGTGTTTTAGTTTTCTGTTTATTATGGCCGGGACTTTAGCATGTCAATTTTTATGATTTACGTTGATTTTAACACAATGAATTTATTTTTCTGTTTTACTTTTACATGCAAAAGTTTGAAGCTGGAACCATTTTATTTTCACGTTTCTGGTACACCCGTAAATCTGACGCACCATCAAACCTGCTGCAGGTTAATTTCTGCTTCTGCACTGATCCGACTGGATCCGACTGGATCTGAAAATACTTCTGATGTGCTCAAGTTGTGCTGAAAGGAGTTAACCAATCAGACAAGCTTTTCAAGCCTAAATTAGCATGTCAGTGCTAAGCATGTAGCCGCTAATGCTAATGTCATAGCTCACAGTCCACATTTCTAAAACAAATCTCCATGAATGATCAGGAGTTCCTGAAACTTTGTAAAGATGAACTTTGCTTTAATCTGACGGTTGAAGAACCTGAATAAGATTAAAAACTCTACAAATATTTTTGTAGAGCTCATCTATCTATTTATTCAATAATTCAGGAGCAAAAAGGGTTTCTGATTTGAAAATTGTGCTCATGTTGAGTGTGAAAAGTAACTCTTGACATGAATATAAGAAAGTGACACTTTTGATTTTGATGGTAAAAATATGAAGTTGCATATTTTCCTCCATATGTTTTGCATTTCAAGGTGAAAACAACTGATTGTTTTCTAGTTTTTATAACAGGTTCATAATAAGAACATAAAATTATCAGACCGACTGTCGTATCAGAAAATCCATGGAAAAATGGGACATTTTACAACATTTTTATGGAGCTTAGAAACTGAATAAAAAATCCCCATAAAGGACCATCAGGGATTAACTCAGGAAGTTTGAAGTCTTGAACCACATTGATGCTTCAGTTGCAGCATTAATGATTCACAAACACAAAATTCACACTGAAATTTATCATAACAACACTTGAATTTTGTATCTTAAGCTGCTTTATCTCTGCTCGATGTAACCTTGACTCAGAACAAGCTTCTTGGTGAACTTAGAGGATGATTTTGTTTTACTCTGCGTAATCAGCTACTCTTGACTCATTTTTCTGTCTTTCTCGCTACTTTTGGGAACAGCAACTGATATTGACAAATCATGGATGACTAATTAGTGTCATTTCCTGTCTTTCTCTCCTACAGATGACAGATTTGTCTGCTAAACACCATTTAGAGCCAATTTTGGAGACCTAAACAACTGCAACAAGTCAGGCTGACAAGAGGACCAGAAGAGCGAGTGCCTTGAGGTCCAGCTATCACTGCCACACAGATGTGGAAGTCCCAAAACGCTGCTATCAAATAACGACGACGTCGAAAACAAAGAGGAAAGAATCGGTTGTGAAGTTAGCAGCCATGTCGGATCATAAAGACATGACGCACCGCCACTTACGGCACAAGCTGCAGAGTCTCGGCAGGAGGCTGGATGAGCTGGAAGAAGCGACCAACAAGCTGCAGAAGTCTGAGGACGAGCTGCTTGACCTGCAGGTCGGTGGCGCTTCAACTTCAGGAGTTTGGGTCGAGTTTTACAGGAATCACAGCCAGATTATTACAATAATCTTCTTCAAATTAATGTCAAGACATCTTGTGATTTAAGCTTTTCCTGTTTTATATTTGTTATTGTGTATTTACATTGTAATTGGCACTTTTGGAACCTAAAGTTACAATAATTCATAATTGGTTCATTATTAGTTTTTCCACCGTGTCAAATGAAAGAACTGAATGAATTAGTTTTTAAGATTAACGTGGGGCCAGAAATATTTTACAGTATTAAATTTAAATTAATACATGTGTAATTTTTTATGTAGCTTACCTGCTATAAGCTAACTTAACAACAAGATGAATATCCATTTACGAATTTGACCTCCAGTCTCCAAACCCAACCTGAACATGACTCTGTTGCTAGTTCAATGTGTCTGAAATGGTTGATGAAGACAAATTGGAGATTTATTATAGGACTGACATGAGTAATGGTTCCATCCTCTGCAGGACAAGATCATCCAAGCAGAAGGCAGCAACTCGTCCCTGCTGGGTGACGTGGAGGCGCTACGGAAACGTCTGCTGAAGATCCAGGGCAAGGATGAGGAGGTACGCAAAGCCGAGGACCTCTGCCGCACGGTCCGCGAGAAACTGGAAGAGGAGGAAAACCTCACCAAGGAGCTAAAGGGCGAAATCGAGCGTCTTCAGCGGAGGATGGCTGAACTGGAGAAACTGGAGGAAGCTTTTGGTAAAAGCAAGTCTGACTGCAGCCAACTGTGCCTGAGTCTCAACGAGGAGAAGAACCTGACCAAGAAGCTCTCCTCGGAGTTGGAGACGCTCAGAACGCGCTTGAAGGAAGTCGAAGGCTCTGAGACGAAGCTGGACAAGGCGGAGCAGGCGCTGGCGAAAGAGCTGGAGAAGCTCAAGGCCTTCACTCAGGCGTTTGTCAGCGAGCGGAAGAAGCTGCTGGAGAAGCAAAGAGAGGATGAGAAGATCATTCAGAAGCTTTCAGAGGAAAGAAAAAGCCTGGATCATTCAGACTTCATGAGCTCAAGAATTGAGGATGAACTTTCTTCCACCGCGCTCTTCACAAGTAAACTGTCAGGCAAGAAGAACCTTGACTTCCTGAAGCTGGCAGATGAGAAGCTAGGCATCGTCAACAAGTCTGAGATCAAGAAGGGCTCACAGGAGGAAGACAACAAAGTAAAGGAGCTGACTCAGGAAGTGGAGAAGCTGAAGAACCGCCTCAAGCAGATGGAGGCAGTGGAGGAGGATCTGAAGAACTCCCAGTTCAAGAACGGAGAGCTTCACGAGAAGTTTCAGGTGGAGCAAAGGCGATCTCGCCAACTGAGCGAACAGGTGGAGCAGCTCCGGATGCAGCTGTATGGAAAAGCTGGGTTTGGGGGTAAAGGAATCGGGAATGTTGAAAAGCACGGCAACGGAAACCCTGCGAAGGTCCTGGAAAATGGCAAAGCTGAGAACGAGGAGGTGGCATCGATGGGCTTCAGGCAAGAGAAGCCCAAATTTAAAAGTTCTGCAGCGTTTCCAGAACCAGGCTCTCCAAAGCACCGGGTCCGGGAGCTTTCCCCTCAGCACAGGAGAGAAACCATGCTGAGGGGCAAAGGCGAAAGTTCCCCAAAGATGACAAGGCGACCTCTGAGTCCTGCTCTGAGGAACAGACGGACTCCCAAAACCACGACTGCTACCGTTTCTTCAGACAACGGAGTTACATCTCGATTTCCTGAGGAACGCCCAAAAGGAGCCTCGCATTCCTCCGAAGTTAAGAAGGCGTCTGTCCTGAGCCGTTACCCTCCAGCTGCTAATGAACCGAAGCCTCAGAGGACACCGTTCAAGCAGACGGACGCGGAGGTGAAGACCAAAGAGAGGTTCTCTAAAGCGTACGGAGGCAGTGACACGGAGTCGAACAACTCCGACGCTACGCCAGAGAGGGTTATCGCGAACAACGTGTCTGCAGCGGAGAAGGAGGCAGTGTCCGCCTCTGATCAGGAACCGACAGACACCGTTCAAGAGTCTTTGGCATCCACAGCCAACGGGTCGTACACGGCCTACAGATCTCACGTCACTCCTCTGCTGCCCAACGACCCCGGCTCAGACACCCATTCATCTGCATCTGAGACCGAATCCACCGGCTCAAGACCCTCAGAAGTGGAACCTGCGGCTGAGACGATTAGCGCGTCGGTGAGCAGCAGGACAACCAGCTCCAGGTACACCAGATACCCTCACGTCCACGACTCGCACTCGGAGGGGTCTTCCTCCAGGAGCTCCTTCGACGAGGAGTTGCTCAGCAGGGCGCAGTCGGCCGACGGAGGAGGCCGCCACACTCCCGTGCAGACGCCGTCGTCCATCGAGATCCAGAGAGTCTGCAGCCCCCGGGAGGCGCTGAGGTCAAAGGCCGTCATCAAGCCCGCGATTGTTGAGATCGACAGGAAGGAAGTCATGATTTCAGACTCCTTGTCAACAAACGGCAAACCCAAGATCTCCACCAAGCCGATTGTGACCAGCAGCAGCAAAATGACCAGCAGCATCACCATCTACCCCAGTGACCCCAGTTCCTCCAGAACCAGCAGCCGCAGCAGCAGCTTGTCCAGCGAGCCGATGCCGGTGAAGGAGCGCCACACGTCCACCAGCAACTTCGTCATCGGTAGGTGCAGAAAGTATGACGATAACGACCATTTAATAACTGACTTTACACTGAATAACAATCATATTGGTAATAATGATGATAATGTAATTCTTATTACAAAGTATTTTTATTTTTTTATTAGCAATATTTTATATATATTCCAAAAATGTATTGTGTTATAATGATAATCTGTGATCATTTATAGGATCATTAGTCATTTTCATTATTAAATAATATCAATAAAAGTATTGCATTTTATTCTTTCTTGTAATATATGTTGTTCATCAATATGATGCTTATTATTACTACTACCTCTGCTAATAACAATAATGCACATTTTAATGTAAATATGTGTGATTTAAAGTGTGTCGGTGTTAATTAGTAGAATCTGTTGTATGTCTTTGACAATAGAAAGAAATGATTTGTTATAATTTGTGTCTCTGTTTCTTGCCAGGACCCAGCAGTGACCACCGCGGCAGCATTTCCGTCCCGTATGAGATTTCCATCCCTAAGAGTGAAATCGCTTTGCGGCCGAGCCAAGACCAGGACTGTGGCGACGACGAGCGCGCCGATGTGCCAACGAGGTCCAAACTCCACAGCGCCTCCAGGCTGGAGTCCGCCAGCAGCTACGTGAGCCACCAGCGCGGCGGCGGCCGGCGCCGGTCCTCGGACTTCAACGACACAGAGTCGGGCTTCGAGAGCGGCAGCGGCACAGCGACGGTGACCAGCTGGAGAAGCCAGAGGCAAACCGAGCTCTCCGCGGACGACGCACCATCAGACACCAAGAACGTGACCGTGAGGAGCACCTGGAGGAACAAGACGAGCAAGACGATGGTGGACGTTGGGTCTGAAGACGAGGCAGAGACGGCGACAACATGGAGGGCGTATCGGGCGACCACCTTTGACTCGGAGGAAACTGTGAACAACGCGGCACCACAAAAAGGAACTAAACCAGCAGAGGTGAGAACGAGCCAGTCCGTCTTTACCCAGAATGCACAGCAACCGAGTAACCTCCTGCTGTCCGTCCCAGGCGTACATGCGACGGTACAACAGCGTGACAAGCACCAAGGAAGCAGAAGAACCGACGCTGCGCCGAGACCGGAGGTCCGAGTCTCCGGTTACGGAAGCAGGAATTCTGGGAAGGACCATTCCCCATGCACCAGTTACCTCCCAGTCCTGGAGCCGGTCGTATTCTCAGGCACCACTGGTAGGACAACAGACATTCATATCAATTTAAAAATGAATGTTTAATTTCAGCACAGGCCTGTTTCCAGGTGAAATTCATAGTAACATCCTCTTTAGGCCGAACTAATGAAGCAAATACTGTTACTGGTCTGATCCCGTCAGCTTCGTTTTAATGGGTTTGAACTTTCATTCACACCAGCTTTGTTACATTAGTTTACATTAAATTAGTTTGTCTAGAGTCCGGTTCGTTTGCAGAGGTGTGGACACATAATCGAGTTCTGTTACAGACCACAACAACAAACTCTGGTCCACCTGCAAACCTCCGTCTGGGTTCTGTTGAAATGAACTCTGGTTCAGTTTGAATGTGTATGTGAACGCCAAGCGGACCGGAGACCGCTCCAAAAGCAGGAAATGGACGACAGCGCAGGGCATTCTGGGTAAATGCAACCAAAACAAACACGAGGTAGCCTAGTGAAGCCTATCATATAGATTAGCATTAATTTACTTTATGTACGATGCTAAAATTAGCTAGAAAGCTAATGCTAGCTTAAATAGTAGTAGTGTCATTTGGGCTAACATTAGCATTCTCCACCTGATACTGAAGCCACAGTCTGTAAGTTAAAATTTGCTAACATGCTAGTTAAAATGTTACATTTACTACATGTAGAATATAGCAGCAGCGCATTAAATAAAATTAACTTAAAAGCTAATACTAGCTAAAATGGTTTTACATTTCCAGCTGCTGTGATTCTCTTGTCAAATGTTAAATTCAAAAATAGTTTATTAATCCAGGTTGAATCATACTATCAGTTGTTTTAGATGCTTTGCACAGTAAAGATCTTTTCCAAGCAACTCAAGATGATTTCTAAACCAGCAATTATTTCCAAGTTTCTCTCCAACATGTGACTGAAGTTCATCTCCAATTAGATGTGATTTTTTTCTGGATCCGTCCAGGAGAAGCGGTTTGTGTTTTTCTTCCTCCATGCCACAGCTCTGCGACTTCAGGAACAGTTTTTGCAGGCTTCCCTCCTGCTGCCTCAGTGCACAAAGAGAGAAGGGTGGGGCACAGAAGAAAGGAAGGAAGTAAAAAAAAAGACACCAACTGTGGGAAAAGAAGGTTCAAAACCCTCAAGGAGAAGAAAAAAATGGACCTTTGCAGTTTAAAAGTGCTATAAATTGACGGTGCCGTGCTGTTTTACACAAACATACCTCTGGATGTTTACAGAACTCCTGCAAAGGTTTGAGTTTGTGCTGAAACCTGCTGCTCACAGGCCGACAAGCTTCATTTGTCCTGATTTTCAAGGTTCTGCTTTGTTTTGCTGTTTATGCCATCAGGTTAAATTTATTACTCGGGCAGCAACTGATACACGCTTTTGTACTTTAAGATAAATGTAAATCTGGAAAGTGTGGTGTGCATTTGTTTGTTGAAAGATGCTCAGTTGGTTTATTGGCAGAGAAAATGTACATTAACAGTTTGAAGGGAGAAATGCACGCCACCAGGTTATAGCAAAAACTGCCACAGAGGTTTCAAACAAGTTGATCAAATGGCCAACACCTGGGTGAACCTGACCCTGGCTCTGAGACGCAGCGTCTGCCCCTCTCAGCTCCTTCAGACTAGCCAGCAGCAATTAGCAAACACCTGGTGGAACTGCTGAGCTCATCAGAGGAGCTACTTCTCTGTGAACTGCTGGTAAAAACATTGTTAAAGGATTAATGGAGGAGCCATGTTGGGCTGACTTCCTGATGGCAGAGATTCAGAAAGAGTAGGAGCTTCTTAAAGAGACAGGCGCCAAATTACAAAGCAAAGTTTCTGTTAAGGCGCTGACTGCCTGATGCTGGTCGCTCCATTTGGACCCGGCGGTGGCGGCGCTGAGGCCAAGTGTGGAGCAGATCCGGCTGTGGAGTTTGGACTCCAGCATCTTAGGGAACAAAGTGTTTATTTTCTTATTTAAAGATTAATTATATCACATGTATTTGCATATTTCCAATGTATAAGTATGTTTTAGATTACTAAACAAAAAAATGAACAAAATGTGGCCATTTTTAATTTAATCTGATTAATCAATTAATTGTCAGAACAATGGATTATTAAAATAATCATTAGTTTAACACATTCTTAGTTAATTTTCAACAGAAAAACTCGTTAATCTGCAGAATTGATCCGTCATGTGAGCTGCTGAGCCCAGAACAGATCTGGAATCAGCTGATCGTGGATCAATAATGTCTGATCAGTCGGTCTGTAGGAAGCAGTGCAGCAGCATCGATCGCAGCTCAGCAGGGAATCTTACATCTGGATTAATATTGATTCATTTCCATCTTGGTGAAGAATTTCCCAGATTTTTCAAAATGTGTAAATTTAATCTGATTGTGAAAACAGAAAACGATTTATTGACAATTTATTGAGGATTTATTTCACAATTCTTTCTTGGATTTTCTCCAGTTTTCTGTTAGCTTTCTGCCCTAAAAGGCAAACCTTATCATCCATGGTGGATATTTGTTTCCATAAATAACCTGATAGTTTGGAACATTTACTGAAGTTGTGGCAAATTTGTGAAGTTAATCAAGTGATTATTGTTTTAAAATATGTACATTTTCTGCTGATATCAGAAATCTATAACCTCCTGCATGAGCTCAACCTCACTGTCCTATAAACGCTGATGCACTTTTTCCTTCCACTCAACCTTCCCCACCTCAGAAGCCTGAACAGAACAATTCTGATCTGCTGAACTGAAACGCAGCAAAGCTGCGTGAAGCCTGCGCCCGGGTCGCAGGTCAGAGCCGCCATGTTGGATGATCGGGGCAGGAAGACGAGCTGAAGTCGCCTCAGTTTGACGTTTCACCCGCCGCGCCGAGGCTGATTTAAGAGTTTGGTTTGGCAGCGGTGCGTCATTCCTTAACACCGGTGCAGAGGAGGAGAACGGGCCGGTCAGAGCAGGGATGTGATTCATTTAGCAGGATCTCGCCTCCGGCTGCAGGATGAAGGAATCTAATTCAGCTCTGATCAAGACGAGTTTCTGAGTCAATGATTCTGCTGACAGCCAAAGATTTGACTGTTGCTTTTTACTCACGTCCTTAATCAAATGTTTATCTCCTTTAACTGCATCTGCTTTCATTTTCACCAAGCAGACAGAAACGATTCCCTAAAATATCACTGAAGGTGAATCTCTTAACGTTGAGCTCACCAGACTTTTGGATCCGTCTGAATCTTTAACTCTTCGTTTCACTGGCCTTGTTTTCCCCCAACATGTAATATTTTTACGTTTCTCATCAACTGAACATCCTCTAAAACAAAATAGGGCGGATCGCCGCTGGACCGGAAACTAGCAGCTAGCTAGTGGCATGTTAGCTACTAATCTGATTCTATCCGAAAATATTCAAGTCTTAGTTTTTATTTCACGATTGTCTTGGATTCCGATCCCTGCTGAAGAAAAGCATCCCCACAGCATCATGCTGCCATTACCATGTTGAACTGTGGGGTGTTGTGAGCTGATTTCTAACAGTCAGTTGCTCTGGATTTTATTTATGGGATTAGGAGGCTGAGTACATGTGCCTGCCACACTTATGAGATTTTTATTTGTAAAAATGTTTTTTGAGCTCATTTTTCTTCTCCTTCACAAATACAGAAAGAAAAAGTCACAAATCTGCTAGAAACCATCTTGTCTGAGTGACATGAACGGACTGAAGTTTCATCAAAGTCTGGAAACTTTTCCGGCTCGGATCACAGATTTTCCTGAGACGTTTTAGCAACTTTTGGTTACCAAAGAAGGAGAAAAAAGCCGTTTCCTGCCCCAGCGTCTGCAGCAGGAAGTGAGTTCGCCGCTCGGCAGTGCAGGCGGTGACTCGCTTCCTGCCTGTTGCCATGGAGACCGGGAAGGGCCGGCCAGCGGGCTCCATTAGAGCCAATTAGTCAGAACTCGCTCTAAAACGGCGGCGGCAGCTTTTGCCCAACAAGTTTCACTAATTATGGTGCTTTTTTTTTAAAAGCTGAAATTACAGGAGCGGGAATTGCACCGTCATCTTCCTGCAGCGGGGTTGCCGGGGCGACGAGCGGGGAACGTGCCGAGGCTGCAGCCGCAAGCTAGAAACTCGGGCTTCAGTTTCTAGTCAGCCCACCAAAATGATAAATCTCTCGGCTTGGGGCATGTTTGGGGTTTTTGGTTGGGAATTTTTCCCCTGGCAGACTTTCTGTGTCGCACCGAGCAGCTTGTGTTTAATAGCCACATATAAGAAACATCCCGACTGGAGGAGAAAATACGGATCTGTTTATGTTCCAATCCGCTTCAACAAAACCACACATTAAACACGGATCCCTCCATGTTCTATGCAGACCCGTTATGTTCCAGAACCCGGCGCATCAGAACCATTCAGGGAAAACTTCCTGCACAAACTCAGACATTTCTAAAAGTTTTTAGAAGAAAAACTTCGGAGATTAAAAAATATCTAGAAAAAAGAAAATTTCTGGATTTGCTTCAATGAACCCAGACCTTCAGTCCAGCCACGTTTTGACCTCTGACCTCCTTCCTTCCAGGCCAAAGACGCCCCGGACCCGGCTCCGAACCCGTGCTGCAGCCCGGCCTCCTGGAGGCGCCACCCGCCACCCGGCGCCTCCTACGACCGCCTGACTAAGGCGGGCGGCGCCTCGACCCGAGGCGGGGAGCCGTGGGCCGGCCGAGGCCCGGCGCCGTCGACCCGGACGGACGGGAGGACCGGAGCAGGAAGCAGAACCTGGAGCCACTGTCAGTCGGAGCATCGCTAGGCTGGAAGCAGGTCAGAAGAGATTCAGAAATGTTGAATTTTTAAAAACGTTGCAGATCAAACCATGTTGAAGACGCCGGATGTGATTTAACTCCATCAGCTCTGACCAATCAGGCTGAAGAAACGTTTTTCCCCCGTTGCATCGGTGGAGGCTCTGGATATAAATGCATGCCACACCTTTCAGATTTTATTCAGTTTAAAAACCATAAATAATTTTTATCTCCTCCTCTTTTAACGACGTGATGTTTGTGGTTTTAAGGTGAATAAAAAATAAAAATCAATGTGAGGCAACTTCACAGAGAAAAACTCAATTTAATTTCTGCATCACTAAATTTATATTTTCTGTGATAATTTCCTCCAAACTACCTTTTAATTAACATCATTATCTTTATTTTCTGGAAATTTACTCCAAATAAAACATCTTTTCCTATAATAATGAGCTGAATTATTTGTCTGCAAATACGTTCAGATTATTTTTAATCTAACGTTGCTGTTTCTTCCTCTCTGTTCAGCGCTGAGCCAGTTTTCCAGCAGCCATTCGGTCCGAAAGCAAACATCTGTTAGAGAAGCTGAGGCTCCGCCCCCTCTGGATCTGCTTCCTCTTCTACTTCCTGTTGGATGTGTTATGATGTCATATTGTCCCCCCCAACCTGTGCGCCGGATTGTCCTGCAGAACCAAACCTTCTCCCTCCCATGTGACCAAAAGCAGGAAGTGAATTAATCCTGTTACTCCATCAGCCCCAACTCTTCTTCTTCTTCTTCTTCTCATGCATTCAAACAACGTGGAGCGCGGCGAAGGCTCCAGCAGCTTCTGCAGCGCCGCATAATGGCTGCTGGCTGCATGGCTGTAAGTAGAAAAAGAAAAGCACTTGAAGGCTGCGACTCGGCATGCGACTCGGCATGCGCGCTGCTTAAAGGAGCAGTCGGCGAAATTGGGATCATTTTATTCTGCTTTAGTTTTATTTTTGTGTGATGTGCTTCCTGTTCCTTCTCGGGGTCGTGTGGGAAAAACTCGCTGAAACGCGATGAACCTGTCAAACCGAACCGGTTCTGGATTCAGACGGAAATGATCAGATTTATGAAACGAAGCGACGCGTGTCCTCCATGAAATGAAACGCTGCATCCTGATTGGTCCGCATGGAGCCCACTACGACACTTTACGAACCGATCATCCAATCAAACTGTTAGGATTCACATTTCCTCACTGAACATGAGAACCATTAAAATAAGACAAAATTAACTTACAATGAACTTCTCAGCAAGAAATAAGTTCTTTTTTAATTCAATAATTCCTTCATATTTATGGAAAATATTTTCTCCTGGCAGATTAATTTATGATAATATCAGATAAATCGGACATTTTCCATGTCATTTAGTGAAATAATCTGGTTTCATGAATATATTTAATTAAAATAAAAACAGATTTGCTGCTGAGAAGTTACCTGTAAGTTCATGTTTTATTTGAAGTGTGCTAAAGTATTTGCAGTAGGAATTAGACCTGAAGGATTTTGTGTTTTTGCAGAGTAGCTCGAGTTGCCATCTTTTATTTTTTTCCTGACATCCAGAGTCTTTTTCTGGCCCCTCTATGTGAAGCAGCTCCTGGCCGCCTGACTGAAAGGTCAGAGGTCAGCGTCTAATCCTGTCTCTGGGTCTCGACTCAGGGAGGGAGACGTCGCCGCGGGTCGATTGAAACGCTGGCGGGAGGATCGAGTGTCTGGTGTAAAGTTCCTCCTCGTCTGCTTCTGTCGATTTCATCTGAATTTATTTGAAAATATTTGGATAAATGATGAGAAACTGTTTTCTCTCTTGTTGGGTTTTCATTGATCCCATTTAAACAGAAAAATCATAAAGTGATTATTTTATAGTTTCTCATTTAACCAAATATTACTCAGGCGTTTGTATACATTTAAACCTAAAATCACATTTTTCCTTTTCCTAAAATAACTTATTGCAATTTTTTCATTATTTTGTTTTTCACTGGAAAAATCCAAAATCCAAAGTATTTCTGGTTTCTAATGCAAATTGAACTAAACTAAAAAGTAACTTTTCAGCAAGATGTGGGAGATTTTACGTCAATAATTCTTTAATGTTTATTTAGAAGTACATATTTCACACTTTTCAAGACATTTTATGTGAAATATTATGGTTTTAAATCAAGATTAAAGAATTATTTTCTTGTAAGTTAGTTTTCTCTTAAAGTTTACTCAAATATTTGCATCAGAAATGAAAAATACTCGCTGATATTTTAGTGTTTCCAGGCCCAGTCGGATCAGTTCAAGCCCAAATGAATCATGGTTTTCCTGCAGATGGATGAGAAGTTCTGTTCCTTCGGATCAGAACCCGGTTCCGGTGTCATGGTGACGCGTGGCTGGGATGCTTTGAGGCTCCAGTTTGGGATTAAATCCCCTGAAGTTGCTGTTGTTGCGTCAGGAATGCGAATCCGACAGAAACTCAACAGAACGTCAGAAAAAGTTCCTGCTTTTCCGGACCTGCTGTGTTTTTTCACCATTGCTAAAAAAAACAGGGAAAACTGCTGCAGAACTACAGGAATCATAATCATTTGTTACTGTTTTGTTTTAACTTTGTGCCAAAATCATTCCACAGTATTTACGGTTTACATTTAGCAACCCTCCATGCTGACGGATAATCTGCCTCCAAGATGCTGGATAAAGGGGAGATGCTCACTCTGAGGGGTTTTCTATATCCTGTTTTGTTTCTTTGTGAAACAAAATGTTATTTTTGAGTCTATAGATTTTATTTAAGGAGAAATGTATAATTTTGTAAAGTGGGCCTTATTGTTGAACTATATAGAGTATTTGTTCATCTTGATTTTTTTATCTTCGTCGTTGCTCTTACACTCCTGGAGAGTCCGTTTTGTGTTCTGGTTGTTAAACATGAGCGTTTTTCTCACAGGTCAGAGAGGAAAGAAGCTTTTGCTGTTTGTTTTTTTTAATTAAAAGTGAAAGTTGTTGCGTTTTTAATCAGATTAGAGCAGATTGTTTCTGTTAAAGTCGGACCGTTTGGTTCTCCAGCCTCAGATCTGCTTTCCCTCAGAAATTCAGGGTTTTTACATCTGATGAAAGCATTCAGATCCCTCCTCTCCTCATACATATATCTGTATATAAATGTAAATTGCGAAATAATCTAACAAGAAATGAGAATTAAAGGATGATATTTTTAAGTGGATCCCTCCTCTCTTCCTCTGTTTTAAACAAGACAAACTCTCTGAGTTGTTACTGGATCTGAGTGGAGCCAGGTGGGCTGAATGACGATGCTTTTTTATTTTTTACCTCTCAGCTTTAGATTTAAACGATGTGCATGTTTTAACCGTACCGCACTCTGCATGTAGGCCTCTTTAAAGCTGCCAACTGTACAGCAGACCATATGTATTCCAATAAAAATAAAAAACCGACCTGTTTGCAACACATCTGTGTTATGTCCACTTCTGTTTTTCTGCTTACTGTCGGGATCGGAGCGTTTACACACGTGTGTGAGAGAGAGAGAGGGAACAACAGCTGACGGCGTGCAGAATAAGCAAGCAGGCAAATTGTTCGGGTTCAAAGAGGGAAAGCCACAAGCTGCTGAGGAATGCCGAGTCAGCACATAACGCCGCTCTTAAAAACAGCTACACCTCAATCTGCTGATCATCTCCTGCTCCCAGGGAACCCAGCCCAACCTGTTTCTGAACATCATGTTCCCAGTCTGTGCAGAAGTATTCACACCGACCAGAAACCAGATTCATTTGCTGGGATTTAATTCCAAAGCAGAGGAAACTGATTCTCTAATATGGAGGAGAAGCTTCCAGCTTCTGTGCTCCACTAATCTGGGAAAAACTACCAGAAAACTGCAAAACTGCAGAAACAGAGTTCCTTTAATCCAAAACTAAAACCCTGTTTATCGCTGCCTTCGGTTCACAACTGGAACATTGATCAATACATTTGGTTTTATTTCATTTCATAATTTACTATATTGTTTTTATGATGTGAAACATTTGAACAGCAGTGCTGCTGAAATAAACCTAAATATTTATTATAAAGCTAAATCTGTAACTCAGAACTGGAGATATTTAACTTGTAAACAAACTATTTGGCAAAGTCAGAGCTAAATAATTAGCCCCATGAAAACAGTGAGCAAGCTAACTATTTAGCTCCAACCTATTTAGCTCTGGGCTAGCTACATATTAAATTGTAAACAATATTTGGTTAGCTCAAAGCTAACCTTAATTTAGCTTTATGAATATTTAACAAGCTAACTATCTCTAAATTACCAGCTTGTGAACTAAATATTTAGCAAGATACTAGCTAGAAATTTAGCTTTATAAATATTTAATAAGCAAGCTAACTAGCTAAACATTTAGCTAGCGCAGAGCTATTTATGTAGTTAGCAAGCCAAATTTTTATGTTGCAAGCTTGCAAACCAAACTTTTGGCTTGGAAATTAAATATTTAGTTTGAAACTGACAATGAATAACAAAAACATGGCAAAAATATGAACCGCCACTTTTTCTTTTGACAGGCTAGGTAACCCAAATTTCTGATTGTGTATTTATGACAAACTTTTCACCCAAAATGAAGCGACGCCTGAAGCCATTCTGCAGCACTAATCTATTTTATCAAAAAATAAACTTAATGCTGCGGCTCAGAACAGACAAATTCCACAATACGGCGCTTTAATGTTGGTACTTTTTATTAAAAAAACATTTAATATTAAAGAAAAAAGTCTCAACAACAAATAAAAAACTAACTTGTAAAAGCTAGCAAAAATCAGATTTCTTTCAACAAAAGCACATTTCTTTTTAGCTCAGAGCCAAACTGATCCAAACTCCAGGTTGGAGGCAAACGGCTCCAGCGCCAACATGTTCTGGTGTAACAGAAGGAAAAGTCTTCAGTTTCAGTGCAGCTGGAAATTTCCTCACATTTCAGGTTCAGAGTTCAACTTGGAGACAAAAAAACTACATAAAAAAACTACATAAGATCAAAAATGAATCATTTACCTCACGTAATCCCATTTCCATTATTTTCTTGAGATCTTATTGGGTTTTAATCAGTTGCTTCTAGATCTGTTATAAAGGACTATTCCACAGTTTAAAACCTGGAGTGAATTGTCTCAACTTCAGGTCCTCGAATTCAGTTTGTGATCAGTAACTTCTTTGCTCCACAGAAGTTTGTTCTGGTTCTGAACTAGTTAGATTCTGGTGTGAAATAATGTCCCTTTTGGTTTTCAGTGAATGTGTTTCTGTCAGTAACTCAAAGTAAAAACTCGGGGTTTGGACCACCATCTGAATGTGATGATGAAAATGATCTTTTTTAGATTATGAGTCTTTTCTCATCCCGACTTGGAAAACGTATCGAATCAAACTTCAGACAGAATCCTGAACGAAATGATTTCACAGTCTTGGTGTTCAGCCCAGCCGGGTTTTGTCGTAACGCCGGAGCCTCAGACGGCGGCGGCGGGCTGCGCCTGCTGAGGGTTGCTGGTGGCGGTGGGCGTGGCCTGGCGGGGCAGCGTGTACATGGCGCCCAGGAACTGGTCGGCGATGCGTCCGGCCTCGCGCAGGCCGCTCAGCAGGGCGCCGTGGACGGTGGCCGGGTAGTTTCTGATGGTGTGCTCACCGGCGAAGAAGAGCCGAGGGACGGGCTGCGGAGGGAAACGTTCACCAATCAATCAATGAAGAATCAATGAATCAATACTTGGTGCAACAAACAACAAAGGCGCTCATGACTCAGCAGATTTTTGGCCGATCTTCAAAAAACCTGATTCTGATTATATTCTGTGAAAAGTTGCTGAGTTGGCAGCGGCGAGGTTATTGATCAGCTCTGATCAATAACCTGCTGGTTTCAGGTGATCGGGTCATTTTCAGGCATTCTGGGTAAATAAATGGGTTCAGTTGAGTTCAGCTGTGAATATCAGCCGATCTCTGAAAACCACAGGAAATCTGGCTGATTTCTCGTCCATCGTTTTAATTCTAGCTGTAAAACTTCAGATTGGACGTCAGATTTTGAGTCTGTCCAGATTTAGGTCTGGATTGGACTAGGCCGTATTAGATTGAATATTTTTCAATCCGAACCCTGAATCGATTATTCTGATTAAAAAAACTGGAAGATTTTTTGTTTAAAAAAATGCAAATAAACAATTTGATTCCTTTTTTTAAAAAAGAAAAACATTTACTTGCCTAAAATAAAAATCATTTCTTTTCATGTAAAAGTGTATGAGAATATTTATAGTTATGGCTAATAGTTTGTTTTTTTCTTTGAGTCTCTCGTCCTCCAGTTAACGGTTAATCGATTACTGAAGATTATTTAAAATATAATTTAATCACAATTAATCGATTCAGTTCTGATGAAATCCTAATAAATGTGACATTTTGTGGTTTTAACTTCAGAAAAGTGGAAACAGTGTGAATCCTTCAGGTTAGTTGTTTTAAGTGAGAACATAAAAATTCGCCTTGTTCACAGTAATCAGCATGGCAACATCCCAACAGCTGGCAAACATCTGCTGGCCATTAACCGCTGGGACGCCACCCCTCCCAGCTCTCCCAGTACTCCCAGTAAGCCCCGCCCCCACCCACCTGTGAGGCTCCCGGGATGGCCGGACCGGGCGTGATGGGCTGGGCCATCAGGTCGTAGTCGTTACCCGAAGAACCGGCCGCCACGTACGAGTACGAGCCCCTGGCCCAGGGGTCGGCCCGCCACCGCGTCACCACCGTTTCCTTTGGCTGCCATGGCAACAGACAACAACAACAGTTTAAAGACTTTCCATGATGCAAGCAGCGGTGAACAGCTGGACGGGGAGCAGCTCCAGCCTTCATGCACATTCCTTCCTCCCACTTGAAACCAGAAGCAAATGAGTCGTAATGACGGCGGTTTGGACCCGGCTCGGTCTGAGAGGCACGACCGCGGTTCTGGTTCTGAGGGTCCGTTCAGAAACAAATTCCTCAGGAAATAAAAGTCACTTATGAAAAGGAAGGAGGGAAAACTGAATGTTCTGCCTACGGAGGCATATTAGGGCCAAAATAGATGCAAAACAGAAAAAGGACGAAAACTTTTGGCATAAATTTTCCCCAAAAAAATTTTAAAAAGTGGAAATTTCTCCCAAAGTCAAAAAATTAATAGAAAAAAACCCAAATTTTTAGATTAATTGTAAAAAAAACTTGGAATTTTTTTAGTTTAAAAAGTTTTTTTCAACTAAAAGTTAAAAACATGTTAGTAAAAAAAAACTTAATTTCCATATTAATATCAATACTCTAGAAAAAAATTTGGCATTTCTGAGGTTGAAAAATAGGAAATTTGCTAAAAATTTTTTGACAATAATCTGGAAATTTATGAGTTTCAAAGTAAAAAAATTCTTAGAAAAAACATAAATTTTGGGAAAAATCTCAGAAAATTTACACAAAAAAAAACTTGGAAAATTAGGAGTTTCAAAAGTTGAAACTAAACATTTCTGAGGTTAATGTTTTTTTGTTTTATTACTTGCAAACTTTTTGACTTTTTGAGCTCAGAAATTTTCACATTTTTTCCGGATAATTTTTGCGATTCATCTGAATCTTCTTGCAAATTTTCACTTTTTGAGCAAAAGGATTTCTTCAAATTTCAGAGGAATTTGGAGAAATCTAGGGACAAACTGTTTTTGTCTCTGTGCAAAAGGCCCAGGATGGCGGCGTTTCTACCTGAGGCACGGCGCTGCTCCCAAATATCCCTTTGAGAATGGCGAGGCAGCGCCCCACGATGACGTCGTCGCTGATGTTCTCCATGATGCCGGCCGCCTCTCCGGCCATCAGGGCCAGCAGGATGGGCGCTGCGGGAGGAGTGGTCGGTTTCAGGTGAACACAGATCGTCAGCAGCCTACAGAGCGAGAACATGGATCTCATCTCACCTTTGTAGAGGTTCCAGAAGAGGAAGAGTTCGCCCCGGCTGGCGGTGGTGGAGCCGACGTGACCAAACAGGTTGACGGTCGGATCCCAGAAGACCCGGTCGAAGCACAGCACCACCTTCCAGCACAAACAAGCCACAAAACAACAAAAACTTCCTTTAAAATAGGTTTATTTCTGCAGCAGAGCAGAGAAGAGCTCCCTCTGCTGGGAAAACCAGGAGCAAGCAGCTCGGATTGCATAATAATGCAGCATTCTCTGCTGCAGCAGCGACTGGAGTCGGAGCGGAAAGGACAGCACTGATGCAGAATGAGCAGCAGAGCAGAACCAGAACCAGTCCTGCTCTACACCGGGCCCAGATCATGGAGGAAAACTGAGCTACTTGTTGTTATTGCAGGATTTCTTAAAGTTTTACTGTAATAAAAGAACTAAAACACATCACAACAATAACTCAGTTCTTTATTAATACTTGATTGCATGTTAAAAACAACTTTATCAATTCAAACTGCAATATCCGCTCCGTATTCTCCATCCTCATTCCCATACGGATCCCCACTGG